CTTCTCTATTAACCAACGGACAACCTCTTCCTTCCAGCCTTCAAAATGCAAAAGCTTTACCCTGGCCAGGTCGCTCAGTGGTTAGTGTTGTCCCACCACACCAAGGTTGCGGCTTCTATCTCGTCAGGCAGGGCATGAACAAGAATCAACCAATGAATGTATAAATAAGTGGAATAACAAATCGATGCCCCTCTCTTTCTCTCTCTGCCTCTAGTCTGATTTTATTCTCATTTGTGTTCCTCACAATTTCTCTAACCTGTTGATGCACTCCATATTTAATAAGGAAATATGGAAAAACCAAAGGAAAAAAAGCTTCACTTTTCCAATGAGTCTTCCCTAACAGATTCCACTATAGCTGACACTCCCCTTAGACATTCTGTACAGTCGGGACAACTCATTCCTATCAAAAGACCTGGGCTCACCTCTGGCTACTTTCTATGTGATCTGGGCCTCACAGAGCTTCTGTTTTCTTCTATGAAGTGAATATGATACTAGCACTTACCTCATTGGCTTATGTGATGATTTATGGGAGTTAATATATCTAAGAGCATAAAACAGAGTCTGGCACTTTGTAAGCGTTCCATAGAAGTGAACCATTATCATAAACACTTCTGTTTCCTTTTTTTTTTTTTAAGTATTTTTATTGATTTCATAGATAGGAAGGGAAAGGGAGAGAGAGAGAGACATCAATAAGAAAGAATCGTTGGCTGACTATTGTAAGCTCCCTACTGGAGACTGAGCCCACAACCCAGGCATGTGTCCTGACAGGAAATTGATCCAGCAACCTTCTGGTTCCTGGGTTGATGCTCAACCACTGAACCACACCACCTGAGCTATTTCAACATTTTTAAAAATATGTATTTCTTTATTGATTTCAGAGAGGAAGGGAGGAGAGAGACAGAAATATCAATGATGAGAGAGAATCATTGATTGGCTGCCTCCCGCACGACCCCCACTGGGAATTGAGCCCACAACCCAGGCATGTGCCCTTGGCCAGAATCGAACCTGGGACCCTTCAGTCTGCAGGCTGACACTCTAGCCACTGAGCCAAACCGGCTAGGGCTTATTTTTTATTTTTAAATATTTTTTTAATTGATTTTAGAGAGGAAGGGAGAGGGAGAGATAGAAACATCTGTGATGAGAGAATCATGGATCGGCTGACTCCTGCAAGTCCCCCCCTGGGGAAGGAGCCCACAACCCGAGCATGTGCCTTTGACTGGAATCAAACCTGGGACCTTTCAGTTAGCAGGCTGACACTCTATCCACTGAGCCAAACCAGCTAGGGTATGTTTCAAAATTTTAATGAGTACACGGTATTCTAGTGTGTGGCTATCCCATATTTGGTTTGACCAGGTCCTTTTTGCTGTTGAATTTGTAGTCCAGGGGCCAGTAAACTATAGCTTCCCTGCTGTTGCCTGAGAACCTAAGAATGTTTTCACATTTTTAAATAGATAGCAGGAAAAAAATACCAAAAGCAGACTAGTTTTGCCTTCTGGATCAGGAGGCTGAGGCAGCTTTAGAAGGAAGTCCTCACACAGACAGGCCCGTTTTGAAAAGGAGACGTGAAAGGAGACAGGGAACAGGGCAGGTCCTGAAACGCCGTGGTCTGGAGTCCATCACCCGGGGGTTGGCCTGACCTCCCATGGTGTTGGGATGTGAGTAGACAGGTTCTGGGGGCTTGGTAGAAACCTTTTTCTCATCTTATGCTCTGCCTGCACCACATAGACCACCCAGACACAAGTAGGATTCACAGTGAGGAGGGAAAACAAGAGGTCCCACACCTTGGGCTCAGACTCAGAAGTGGAGAGGGTGCAACTCACTGCTTACCCTCGCCATGCCCATACCTCTGAGTCCAGTGGGGACAGATGGGCAGGGCACCTGTCACTCTCCTCGGGGTAGTTGCTACCAGCTTTGCTCCCTATCCCCCATCAAGAAGGTACATTGTAAATAAATGCCCTCTCTTCAGAGCTTCTCACTATGTACCACCCTTGCTATTTTGGTATCTCTACATACAATAGAACAAGCTTAAGTGTTACTGGTTCAAGGTACATGTGGCCTATGCTTCAGATGCCAATATTCAAAACATCAGAGTTTAGAGTAAGGAAAGTTTTATTGATTGAGAAGGTGTCAGCTGAAAAAGATGGGGGACCTTAGAGTTTTCTCAAATCTATCTCAAGAGTCCAGAATTCAGCCGAAACCGGTTTGGCTCAGTGGATAGAGTGTCGGCCTGCGGACTGAAAGGCCCCAGTTGGATTCTGGTCAAGGGCACGGCACGTACCTTGGTTTAGGGCACATCCCCAGTGGGGGGGCGGGGGAGGTGTGCAAGATGCAGCTGTTTGATGTATCTCTCTCATCAACGTTTCTAACTCTCTGTCCCTCTCAATTCCTCTCTGTGTAAAAATAAAATATATTAAAATAAAATATATTAAAAATAAAATATATTTTTTTAAAAAAAGAGTCCAGAATTCAGGCTTTTATTTTAAGGGAAGGGAGAAGAGGTGGAGTAAGAAGTGTGAGACCTCAGACATCTAGGGACCTAAGGAAGAACAGGGAATCTCTAAGTCTCATTGTTTCCAGTCCCTGCTAATCTGAGTCCGGTCTGGAGGCTCCTAAAAATCTTTGCCAAAAATTCAAGCCTCAAGCCAAACTTCTCTAAAATTAGCATATCTATAGCAGGAGCTATTTGCCTGAAGGCCGTGGGGCAAATGCAGGTCAGAGTTAAGATAGAATCAGAGAGAGTGGCATTTCACTTTGTTACATAAATTTTCCCCTAATAAAATACATGAATAAATAAATAAGGTTTCCCCTCACACACAACTACTGCTCTCTCCTGAAGTGCCTACCTGGCAAGACATTCCTGCATCCTACCCCCTCTGCTTCCAGTCACTAGCTGGCGCTGGTGAGCCAGTTCCTGCTTCCCTGGCCCTATCAAGACTGGGGGCTCCCTCAACACCTGGTCCCCAACAGGTACCTGCAGTATCTGAAAGAACAGAATTCCATCAGTGTTGTGGGGTCTAACCATGAAGTCAAAAATAAGACCACCAGAGGCTGCTAATTGCTTTAAAAAAGCAGGCAAGGATTTATTGAGCTGGCCAGCGATGGCTACAAGAGCACCACACGCAGGTGGAGTCCACTCTCATGACTACGCTGTTCCAGGTGTAGGCAGTCCTTTTAAAGGTCTAAACCACAAAAATTTCCTTTGTTCTAAATTCTAAATTCTAAAGTCTGGGAACAGCTAGCAGGGTTCCCAGCTACATCCTGCTGGACGCTGGAATGTGGACCTATCTTGCGCAAGCAGTTTTTACAGAAGCAGAATCAAGCAGAGTTAATAATCTCTAAAGGTTTTCTACAGTTTCAACTCCTGGAGCTACTGAGTCCGTGAGAATCCATCTCCTGTGGTCCCGGTCCACAGGCACAGGAAAACTGCCTTAGCCTCCAGGTCTCAGTCTGGAAGCTGAGGTAACTACCATATTGTTTAAGCAAGTAAATGAGTGCAGAAGCCAGAAGAGCAGGGTTAAAATTCAAACAGCAGTTTTTACCTAAATATTGTTGCTACCATACTTCAGGTCCAGCATATCTTTGGTCATCCTTGGGGCAGGACTTACTGAAATGAGATAAAAACAACAGGAATAAAGGTGTTATGGAAACATGTGCCTGATCTGTGAACAAATTCTGTTCCAAATCATCCTATATAATAAAAGGCTAACAAATTGTCCCCTAGGGAGACCCAAAGTTCGATTGCTCTCTATGACATACGCTGACCACCAGGGGGCAGCGAGAAATATGGCAGGTGACCAGCTGCAGCAGCAGAGTGCTGAGGGAGCCAGGGAAGGAGGAGGCGGGGAGGCGGGGAGTTGGGGAACCTGATCACCGGACCTCTAGTATATGTTATACAAAAAGACACTGTTCTGACCAAGAGGAGTGACATTTTTCATCATTTTGCAACAGTAGAGTTGAGTGGCTAGCAAAGACTATAAGGTCACAAAATCTAAAGTATGTACTATCTGGCCCTTTGCAGAAAAAGTTTGCTGATACCTGTTGTGGGTAATTTTTCATTTCTTCTGCTTTATAAGAAACACTGCATGGAATCTAATGAACAAAATTAATTGACCAACAAAATAAGACCTGAAGCATTTGGAAGCATGGAGCAGACTGATAACTCAATGTGAGGATGGAGGGACAAGGAAAGATAAGCCAAAATACTTACATACTTATATGCATAGCCCATGGACACAAGCAATAGGGTGCTAAAGACCTGGGGGGTGGGTAGAGGCTGAGCGGAGAGAAGTAAAGGGGGGGATAGGAGACATCTGTAATATATATATATAGTAATTAATTTCCCAGACTTGTGAGACCAGTCCTCAGCGGAGTCTTCGGACTTCGCTCTGTCTTGCCAAGTGGATGGTTTCACTCTAAACATCTTGGCCTTTCTCGGACTGCAGCACATTTTCCCTCAAGGCTTTGGCTCTACTTAAACAGCTCTTGCCTCCTACCCTGTTTCCCCGAAAATAAGACAGTGTCTTATATTAATTTTTGCTCCCAAAGATGCGCTAGGTCTTATTTTCAGGGGATGTCTTATCTTTCCATGCGCTAGGTCTTATTTTCGGAGGATGTCTTATTTTCGGGGAAACACGGTATTTATTCTTTAGGTTTTAGCTTCCAAGTAATTTGCCTTAGGAAAGCTTTCCCAGACATCCCACTCAGAGCCCCGTTCAGTGTTACCCTCCCTTCGCTATTCTCTCCCCTTACTAAATCTAAGCCTTGTGTAGTCAGGCCCTGAACTGGGTCCCTTGGAGTACAATACACATTTACTGTTAGAATGAATCTCTCTCCCTTTCTGAAACCAATAAAAATGTATTAAAAATAAACTATAGAATGAACGAAGCCTTATGGCTAAATATCTTAAACATAACCTTACTCAGGAGGATACAAGTTTAGGAGATTCTTTTTGGGGCTACACAACAACAAAGTCACAAAGAACTTCCGTTATACTTCACAGCACGGGCGCCAGGACCAACGATCACCAGCTGCCCAGGTACCAAAAAATTATGCTTCCGAAATCTCTTGATGTCGATTCCGCACGTAGAGCAATCAGGCTGCTCTACATGTGCCACTCACGACAGAAGCCCTTTTTGCCAGACCGGCCTGAAAGCAGGGAGGCAGTGTTAGCGAAGCCCCATTTTGTTAAAAGTGGGGGGAAAAAACCCTATTTACAAACTCCTATTCTATGCTCCAGAAACTGCGGAGGAAATTTCAAGATCTTATGAGTCAGATGGAATGCTTTACCAGGAGATTCTGATTTGCCTTTTTTTATTTAGAAGCAAAGGCAAAAACAGTCGATATGCAAATACCGCAGTGCTTGCTGGGAAGGTGCCCTGGGCACAGAGGAAGGGGCGGAGGAGATCGGTTGCGGAGGGAGAAGGGGGAACGGAGCGGGGTCGCGTGCCTGCCCCCTCTGCTTCTCAGGGTCTATAGGTACCTGACTGGGAAAACACAAGTCCTACACTTATTAAAACTGAAAAAGCACAAACGTGTGCCAGCCCCGGCACGCGAGCACCAAAGGCACGTGATCATCGTGGAGCAGCCTAACCTTCATTACAATGGATTAGTAGAATGCGGTGTGTTCATAAAATAGAATGCAATCTGCTGCCCTTTCAAGGAGTTAAATATAAAAAAACACTGACAGAGCATCCTCTTGTACACCAAAGGTTGTGGGTTCCATTCCAGATCAGGGCACATACCTAGGTTGTGGTTTGATCCCCGGCGGGCAGGTAAGAGAGGCAACATACCCATATCCATGTTCTCTCGAGCTCCCCCTTCCGCTCTCTAAAATAAATTTTATTTATTTATTTATTTATTTATTTATTTTTTAAATATATTTTATTGATTTTGTACAGAGAGGAAGGGAGAGAGACAGAGAGCCAGAAACATCGATGAGAGTCATCGATCAGCCGCCTCCTGCACACCCCCCATCGGGGATATGCTCGCAACCAAGGCACATGCCCCTGACCAGAATCGAACCCGGGTCCCTTCAGTTCCCAAGCCAACGCTCTATCCATTGAGCCAAACAGGCCCTGGCTATTTTATTTTTTTTATTGCATAATTCTCAAGTGAGGATTTAAAAAAACCACACTGATGGCAGGTGCAGAATAAGGTACAGCATGATAGAAAGAAAAAAGCAATACTGTACTTGGAATGTGAAGTAGGTCTTTATCAACAGGTATAAAAATAGTGAAAAAGGTGTTGAATGGAGTATCAGGTACTGCATGATACCGTTAATGTAATAAGAGCATACACATGTGTATATATATATATATATATGTGTGTTGTATGTTTTCTATGGTCCATGTTTGTGTATTAAAAAAAAAAAGATCTGGAAAAATAAACATCAGTGATTACCCCTGAGGAGGAAACAGGGGACTCAGGATGGGGGCCAATGACACACAAGACTTTAGATCCGTGGTCGGTAAACTGCGGCTCTCGAGCCACATGCGGCTCTTTGGCTCCTTGAGTGTGGCTCTTCCATAAAATACCACGGCTTAGGCGAGTCTGTTTTGAAGAAGTGGCTTTAGAGGAAGTTTAAGTTTAAAAAATTTGGCTCTCAAAAGAAATTTCAATCGTTGTACGGTTGATATCTGGCTCTGTTGACTAATGAGTTGGCCGACCACTGCTTTAGATTAACCTGTAATGTTCCAATTTTTAAAAGCATAATGATTATTGTGTACTTTAAAAATGTAATTCCTACTTTATTTTATCTGCATATTTCATTTTTTTAAAAAATGTATTTTATTGATTTTTTACAGAGAAGAAAAGAGAAGGATAAAGAGCCAGAAACATTGATGAGAGAAACATCGACCAGCTGCCTCCTGCACACCCCCCACCGAGGATGTGCCCGCAACCAAGGTACATGCCCTTGATTGGAATCAAACCTGGGACCTTTCAGTCTGCAGACTGATGCAACGGGTTTTGGCCATATTTCATTTTTTGAAGTTAGATTTATTGAGGTATAATTTACATACAGTAAATTCATTTTTTTTAATTATTTATTTTTTAAGAGACACACACACATCTATTTGTTGTTCCAGTTAATTATACATTCATTGGTTGATTACTGTATGTGCCTTGACCAGAGAATTGAACTGTAACCTTGGTGTATAGAAACACTAACCAACTGACCCATCGAGCCAGGGCCTTCACTTTTTTTTATCTTATAATTCAGTGAGTTTTAACAAACTCATAGACATTTGTCTGTTATCACAATAAATCAAAATATCAAACATTTACATCCCTCAAAAAGTTCCTTTGTCTCCGTTTCTAGTCACCCCCTCCCCTTATTCCTAATCCTGATACCCACTGTTCTTCTCTGGCCCTGTAGTTTTGTGGTTTGTTTTTTTTTTAAATATACTTTATTGATTTTTTACAGAGAGGAAGAGAGAGGGATAGAGAGTTAGAAACATCGATGAGAATAATCGATCAGCTGCCTCCTGCACACCCCCTACTGAGGATGTGCCCGCAACCAAGATACATGCCCTTGACTGGAATCGAACCTGGGACCTTTCAGTCCGCAGGCCGATGCTCCATCCACTGAGCCAAACCGGTTTCGGCTGGCCTTGTAGTTTTGCCTTTTCCAGAATGGCATAAACATTCAAAGAATGAAACCACCATTTGCAACATAGATGGACCTATAGGATAAATATTATGCTAAGTGAAATAAGTCAGAGAAAGACAAATATCATATAATTACACTTTTATATGGAATCGGAAAAACAAGTGAACAAAGAAAACAGAAACAAAATCATACATAGAACAAACTGATGGTTACCAGAGGGGAGGGGCACATGGGGTCTTGGGTGAAAAAGGTGAAGGGATTAAGATGTGCAATTTGGCTAAGTGCAAATTGGCAGTTACAAAACAGTCCTAGGGATGTAAAGGACTGTATAGGGAATATAGTCAATAATATTTTTTTAAAATATATTTTGTTGAATTTTTACAGAGAGGAAGAGAGAGGGATAGAGAATTAGAAACATCAATGAGGGAGAATCATTGATCAGCTGCCTCTTGCACACCCCCTACTGGGGATGTGCCAGCAATCAAGGTACATGCCCTTGACAGGAATCAAACCTGGGACCTTTCAGTTCACAGGCCGATGCTCTATCCACTGAGCCAAACCGGTTTAGGCTATTCTAATGCTATGTACGGTGTTAGGCAGGTACTAGGTTTACGGGGGAGCAGAATCACTTCATAAGTCGTATAAACATCTAACCACTACACTGTACACCTGAAACTAGTATAATACTGAATCCCAAGTCTAATAGAAAAAAATTTTTTTAATGGAATCATTCACAAGCACTTCATTTTTAATATAGAAACAATAGGTATGTGGTAATTGTAAAGAAATCAAAACAGTACAGAATTTTAAGAATGCTTTCCCCAAACTACTATTGACAGTTTAGTGTTCATCTTGCCACACTATTTTCTATGTATACATCATCTAGATTTTTTTAAAGATTTTATTTTAAAATATATATATTTTTATTGATTTTAGAGAGGAAGGAAGAGGGAATGATAGAAACTTCACTGATGAGAATCATTGACCGCCTGCCTCCTACATGCCCCCTACTGGGATTCAAGCCTGAAACCTGGGCATATGCCCTTGACCAGAATCAAACCTGGAACCCTTCAGTCTACAGGAGGATGCTTTACCCACTGAACCATACTGGTTAGGGCCATCACATAGATTTTTTAAAATATATACATTTTTTATTGATTTCAGAGGGAGAGGGAGAGATAGAAACATTAATGATGAAAGATCATCATCTGATCAGCTACCTCCTGCACGACCCCTACTGGGGGTCAAGCCCACAACCCAGGCATGTGCCCTTGACCAGAATCGAACCCAGGACCTTTCAGTCTGCATGCTGACACTCTTTCCACTGAGCCAAACCAGCAGGGCTATCACATAGGTTTTTAAAAAACGAATAATATAGACTGTTAGGCCTTTTACTTTCCTTAATATAATATGTGGAGGTCCCTGATCTCTACAAAGCAGAAGCTGAAAGAGGAGTCATGTAAACAGCTTACACTATAAAAGGAAGCAGATGTGTAGTATAAACTAGTGGAAGCCTAGACACAGGAGCTGTCAACTGTGTCTGCTGGGGACTCCACCAGTCATCCTCCCCCCCCAAAAAAAATGACTTCTGCTCAACCCTCCAATGCCTTCCCATTGCACAATAAATAAAATCTTGTATCCCCACTACAGCCTACAAGGTCCTGCCTAAGCTGACCCCGTTGCCTGCCAGTCCAACCTCATTGCCTGCCTCCCCATCACCCATTAATCTCCAGCCAACTTGGTCCTTGAAGAAGCTGTTTCATAGCTCAGGGCATCATCCAGAGGGATAAATCTAGTTTATTCTAGCATTCTCTCATTTTAAATTTCTTTGTCCTTGCTACCGTGTTTCCCCGAAAATAAGACATCCTCTGAAAATAAGGCCTAGTGCATGGAAAGATAATACATCCATCCCCTGAAAATAAGACCTAGCGCAACTTTGGGAGAAAAAATTAACATAAGACAGTCTTATTTTGGGGGAAACAGGGTAGTAATGTTTCCCCACTTCAGACTGTAAAATCTCTAAGGTTAAGGATATTGTCTGTCTTATTTACTGACACCCAGCCCCTAGCAAAAAGCTGGGTGCACAATAAACAATGTAATTGTTGAATGAATATACTTTTAAACGGGGTTTTAAAAAGATGGATAGGAGTACAAAAATAAAAATAAAAATGGTATGCTAGACTATTAGAATGAAGACAGCAATGGCAGGAAAGTAAGACTAGAAAGACGAAGATCCTGTAAATTTGGATAGGTGGATTAGAAATTTGGTAGGACGAGGATGGGAAACTATAAAGACTGGCAAGGCAGGTTATGGTACTAATAATTCCTGCGGGCAGTCACAGTCACTTGCTCTGGACTGTCGCAGCCCTTCTTACATTCCTTTATGTTTCACCATCTTAGCGGGGGACCTGGGCTCCAGAAGCACTTAGGCTGGAACCAAGCCTAGCATCTGCTAAATGCAGCATTTCTCACCAAGCATTTGACGGATGAACTAACGGAAACAATCAGTTGAGTGGTTAGAGGAC